GTCAGGGTGGAGCCCCGCCTAGAATCCCCAGTGAGGGGCTGGGGGCGTGGTGGTAGATTGCTTGCTGAACAAGCCTGGGTTCCACTGCAGCATTACAGACAACAAAGAATCTGACACCTGATGCTCTGGTCACTAGGCCATCGGGGAAGACTGCACGGTGACCAACACTCATGTGGTCGTCACACTGGCTTTGGGGATGCATAGTTTCCTGGGTAGGCTGATCCCCCTACCCTGAGATATCAGCCGTTAAAGGACTAAGCGTTCTGGACCCCCAGCTGTCCTGGGCCCCTGATTGGGGAACCGAGGCTCGAGGCGGCCCTGGGCAGTGACCCTGGTCCCCTTCTGTGCAGCGGCCTCTCAGTTCTGATTCGTGTGCGGCTGGAGTTGCGGCGACACAGGCGCGCAGGAGACACGATCCCGCGCATCTTCCAGGCAGTGGCCCAGCGACAGCCGGAGCGCCTGGCGCTGGTGGACGCGGGCAGCGGTGTGTGCTGGACCTTTGCACAGCTGGACACCTACTCCAATGCGGTGGCCAACCTGTTCTGCCAGCTGGGCTTCGCCCCAGGCGATGTGGTGGCCGTGTTCCTGGAGGGCCGGCCTGAGTTCGTGGGGTTATGGCTGGGCCTGGCCAAAGCTGGTGTGGTGGCAGCGCTGCTCAATGTCAACCTGAGGAGGGAGCCCCTGGCTTTCTGTCTGGGCACATCGGCTGCCAAGGCCCTCATTTATGGTGGGGAGATGGCGGCAGGTGAGGCCGGTGCACACCAGGGGTGTGGGGACCTGGGGACCGCAGGGCGAGGGAGATGCTAGCCAGGGGTGCTTGGTAACGGTGACCCTGAGCCTCTGTCGCCACAGCGGTGGCGGAGGTGAGCGAGCAGCTGGGGAAGAGCCTCCTCAAGTTCTGCTTGGGAGACCTGGGACCCGAGAGCGTCCTGCCCGACACGCAGCTCCTGGACCCCATTCTGGCCGAGGCGCCCACCACACCCCCGGCACAAGCCCCAGGCAAGGGCATGGATGGTAAGTGAAGGGCCTCTGCCATCTCTCCCCTCGGTCCTCAGCTCTCCCGGTGCCCAACACCTGCTTCTCCCGCAGATCGGCTGTTTTACATCTACACTTCGGGAACCACAGGGCTTCCCAAGGCGGCCATTGTGGTGCACAGCAGGTGAGCAGGGCCCTGGGCCCTCCGACTGAGCCCCACCCTCCCCTGCTCAGCTCCCGCGGCTCCCGTCCCTCCCCCACACCCTGGCCCTGCACCCTACTTGTTTGTTTTTGGAGACAGGGTTTCTCTGTAGCCCTGGCTGTCCTCAAACTCGCTCTGTAGCCCAGGCTGGCTGCTAACTCACAGAGATGCCCCTGCCTCTGCCTCCCGAGTGCTGGGATTAACGGTGTGCGCCACCGCTGGGCGGCGCCCTTGAGGGTTTTATATCCTAAATCCCGTGCCCGTTCTGCCTTGGCCCTCACGGGTCATGTCATGGCTCCGTCCTCTCTGGCCCCACCTCTGCCTCTGCCCACCGTGGTCCTTTAAGTCTCGGTGGGCGCCGTTCCGTGTGCTGCACCCTCAGACAGCCTCCCAGGGCGCAGTGGGCTCTGCAGACCGGTGGCCCTCCCCAGAGGGGCCCCGCAGACTCCGCCAGTGACCGCCTCCCCTCCAGGTACTACCGCATCGCAGCCTTCGGCCACCACTCCTACAGCATGCGGCCCGCCGACGTGCTCTACGACTGCCTGCCGCTCTACCACTCGGCAGGTGCGCGGGCGCGCGCGCGGGCGGGCGGGCACGGGTGGACCCTCGGGGACCTCACCGCCACCCTTCCTCCAGGGAACATCATGGGCGTGGGGCAGTGCGTCATCTACGGGCTGACTGTGGTGCTGCGGAAGAAGTTCTCGGCCAGCCGCTTCTGGGACGACTGTGTCAAGTACAACTGCACGGTGGGTCCCGCCCCCTGCAGGCCCCGCCACCGCCGCAGTGCCACACGGTCCTCTGGGCTCAGGCTGGGGAGGGCACAGCCTCCGCACAGGTCACGCCCTGTGGCCGACCCCACCCCTCATGACGAGACCCGCCTGGGCGCAGAACCTGGTTCAGGGCCCCGCCCCTCCTGCTCCGGCCCCGCCCTCCTGCTCCGGCCCCGCCTCTCCTGCTCCGGCCCCGCCCCTCCTCGGACCCGCCCCCTGCTCCGGACCCTCCCCTCCGGCTCCGGACCCGCCCCCCCTGCTCCGGCTCCCCCTTACGGTGCTCATCTGTGCTCAGACCCCGCCCTGCTCAGGCGCCGCCTTACTAGGTCTCTGCTTAGCCAGTTCCACTCAGCTGGCTCGGCTCTGCCTCTCACTTAGGCCTCACGCACTCGGCCAACCAAGGGCGTCCTTCCGGCCAGGCCTTGCCACTCCTCTGGCCCTGATGTGCCACACCCTTCCCAGGTCCCCTCGGCCCAAATCCTGTCCCTTGTGCTCGGCCCCCACCCCTCCTGCAAGGCCACCCCAGTTCTAGACAGGCGTGTTCCAACCTGGTGGTGGAGTCTCTGTCCAGGAGAGGAAGGGGAGCCATCTTCGTAGTCTCCTACCGCGTCACCAAAGACAGGGCACCTGTTTTAAAGTCGGGGAGACCGAGGCTATAATGCAGCTGGCATGGTTATCTCATTTTCTCCAGGTGCTGCCTGCACAGAGCTGGGTCCCTCCTGGTGGGGCAGGGGGAACCTAGGTGAGGGGGCTGAGCTCAGGCAGGGCACTAACGCAGTGCTTGGAGCAACACCACACACACAGCCCCTTCACACCACACCCTGACCCTTCACACCACACACAGCCCCTTCACACCACACACAGACCCTTCACACCACACCCTGACCCTTCACACCACACACAGCCCCTTCACACCACACCCTGACTCTTAACACCACACACAGCCCCTTCACACCACACCCTGACCCTTCACACCACACCCTGACCCTTCACACCACACCCTGAGACCCTTCACACCACACACAGACCCTTCACACCACCCCCTGAGCCCCTTCACACCACACACAGCCCCTTCACACCACACCCTGACCCTTCACACCACACACAGCCCCTTCACACCACACCCTGAGACCCTTCACACCACACCCTGACCCTTCACACCACACACAGCCCCTTCACACCACAC